AGAAGTTGACTATCCAGAAAACTTGATTTTCCTTAAACAATGGTATTGTATTAATATTTTGAAAGGAGAACGCAAGTTTATATTTCAGTATTAAAATATTTGTTAAAAATAATTAGATTTGCCTCGGTGGGGAAAATGTAAACTATCTCATAATCGAATATGAAATTTAAACCCTTGTCTAATCACCTTGACAGCAGTACGTTGAGCTGACACAGAACAAAAACATTATTTTTATCTCGAACTATGCTTTTTCAGAAATACAATACCAAGTCCATGAACTGACTATATTTAAATACTTCATGTAAAATCCTGAAATACAACTGAAAATGTATGAAAGTATCAGAAACTCAAGGACGTGTGAAATGTAGGTTTCACCACCTTAGTACTAAGATATCACCTATACTACGCATCATAGTCGTGTCGTATTTGGCAACAGAACATGTCACTTCACGTTGGTGCAACTTCACACGTTAAAACTAGCCTCGTCTTGCTGTGTTAACGCTTTGTATGGTACTGTTTCATGGACGTCTTTGTTGTAGGTTTAAAGATGAGGTTCATCTCCGTTCAAACAAATCGATCGATATCTTTAATACCGATATTGGTTACTTGGACCACACAGATGGCAGAGAAGCGTTGTTCAATAGCCTGTTTTTGCCGTTCGACAAAACATTTGAGTACGGTATCATAACAAATGAATAGATATCTTCTTACAGAACCTAATGTGTATTTCCAATTCAATAAAGCCATGTATAGTGGGTGCATAGTAGCATATTTTTGTTTTCAAATAGATGAAGCTATGTAGATAAATGTACAAATATGACAAAAACAAGATCTGAAAAACATTATAAAAATAAAAAGTCGCATCAACAAGTCTCACAGATTTCATATGAATAAACCATAACGTGCACACAGACACAACGGAACGCATTTATTTCAGTAACATAGATGCATCAAGTTGAAACTATTTCGGGCCGAGTGTCAACAAAAAGAATTATTTCACATAAAACTGTGAGTAATAATGGGTAGACGTGTATGATTAATCAAAATTAGAGTGGGGAACGTGATAGCAAAGTATAACAGAGACACGCATTTATACTATCCTTGTAACAAGGCACTGTGCAATGCGATTTTGGGATGGAATAAAACGGAGAAGTGCCACATATTATTTACATCGGAAACTTAAACAAGTGAATTGATTCCATTTAATGTTGAAACTGTAAACGATAGAATGTAACACCAATGTGTAGTTTATTAGCATTTGTTTCACTATTATTACCACATGTTCAAGTAGTTGTTTGTGACTCAATGGATCTACCAAAACTGAACCGAACTGAAACAGAACACGCCTCTCCCAGCGCATTACCAAAACATCCCTACAGTTTCCATGCAAAATGTTAGAAAAATAATGTGTTACATTTGATGAAAGGAACCTTATTCTGTTTATTCGATCACATGATAAATATGCATAAATGTGCGACCCATCACCCCACCACCACCCCCACCCCAATCTGTTGGTTGTATATTTTGCTTCTCCAATCAACATGTTACAATTCGACATGTAGCACGCTAAAACTAACTTGATAAATCTCATCGCACACAAATTATGAAAACTTCCAGGAATCACCAAATCCGTCTGATCCGACGAAACTAATTGCTAATTCTCTCACTGTGAATGATTCAGTAGTTTCCTTGATTAATCCGAAAATGCAATTATCACTTTATTGCCAAGTACTTGAAATGTTTCAGGGAAAACGAATAAAACTAAAACGTAGAGGCATTATGCTGCCACGCTTTTCTTAAATCTTTAACTATGACAAAAGCGTGATAGCTGTTTCACATTAAACAATTACAAGATTCCCTATCAGCGGAAACAATGCCGATTTGTATGACGACCATATTGCATTGTAAAGCAACTTTCATGTGCATGCAGAGAGAGCAAACTTTATCAGAAACCAATTCCCAGCCCAAGGTCTTCTTTTATTATTGTCTTAGTTTGATTTTAAATCTCAAATAACACATACACCTATTCTGAATCAACATTGCCATATTTTGTGTCGCGATAAAGGAAGACAACCGTTAATAGGTGAGGGATGAACAGTGGTTGTCAAGTGCATCACATTTATTTATCTCAGTATTTGACACACTGTAAGCATGGAGGTGATTACTTATTATATATCATTAGACGTGTTTTGTCTGTTTTGTAGGTATATATAATAGTTTATTTTCATATTTCAGTGGTTTGTATTGTGTAATTGTCTGTTTTGTAGGTGTGTGTAACGGTAATTTTCATATGTTAGTGTTTTGTATTCTGTAATTGTCTGTTTTGTAGGCATATATAAAGGTTATTTTCATATGCTAGAGTTTTGTATTGTGTAATTGTCTGTTTTGTAGGTATATATAACGGTTATTTTCATATGTTAGTGTTTTGTATTGTGTAATTGTCTGTTTTGTAGGTATATATAACGGTTATTTTCATATGTTAGTGTTTTGTATTGTGTAATTGTCTGTTTTGTAGGTTTGTGTAACAGTTATTTTCATATGTTAGTGTTTTGTATCATGTAATTGTCTGTTTTGTAGGTTTGTGTAACGGTTATTTTCATATGTTAGTGTTTTGTATTGTGTAATTGTCTGTTTTGTAGGTGTGTTACGGTTATTTTCATATGTTAGTGTTTTGTATCATGTAATTGTCTGTTTTGTAGGTTTGTGTAACAGTTTATTTTCATATGTTAGTGTTTTGTATTGTGTAATTGTCTGTTTTGTAGGTGTGTGTAACGGTTATTTTCATATGTTAGTGTTTTGTATTGTGTAACTGTCTGTTTTGTAGGTATATATAACGGTTATTTTCATATGTTAGTGTTTTGTATCATGTAATTGTCTGTTTTGTAGGTGTGTATAACAGTTTTCGTTCATAGTAATTGTTTTGCACTGTACTATCTATTCTGTTTCTTTCTACGTCGTCATAAGAGCGAAATATTCTCCAGCGCGACGTTAAACCCAATTTCACCTCACCTCACCTCTGTTTCTTTCTCAGGTATGTACCACAGTTGAGTTTCATAGTGTGGGTATTGCACTATCTGGTATTTTGGGAGTATGTATAACTGTTTACTTTCATAGCAGCTGTTTTGCACAATATTTTTGTTGTTTTGTAGGTTTACTTTCACTTCACGCGTTTCGCAGTATCTATTATTTTGTTGTGGAGGTATGAAAACACCGTACCTTCATATTATGTGTTTTAAGTGGTCCAATATTTTGTCACCTTCACTGGGCCTCCATCCCCCTCCCCGGGAATCTGTTTTGCCGGATTCTCGAGACGTTTTGCATCATATTGAACCGTTGAAGTGTTCTGCAACCCAGTAGCTGTATATAATTACAGATTATACATACTAATTGTTAAAATGCCTGACGATGTTAAAATGTACACAAACTTTAACTGTACACTTCAATAATCGGATATCTGAAGGAATGCCCACGACACTTCAATTGATTTTTTCATGCAGAAAATATTTTTCCTACCTGGAAATTTGTGTGTTGAATTAAAAAAAATATGCATAAATCAGAGAATGTCATTTGAAATACCACGACATTATGTAAAGGAGCTGTGTTTGTGTCCATAGCTAAGATGCACACATGGGTATTACATTTTGATGTCGCTATCTTAGTATTTCACGGTGATAGTAGATTTGGATTTGGGTCATAATGAACATCTTCGGGTTTCAAGCATAATTGTTTGTTGCGGTCATGTCCAAAGAAAAGGCCAAGATTTGCCGACATTTACAAAGGCAACATTGTTCCTGGCTGTAACATTGTGAACCCGTAGCGCCCACTGGTCAAGTATTCAGTCAGTGGTCATGTTTAGATAACCACGATTTGACCTGGCAGAATAAAGGAATATGACATAAAAGTATAATCCGGGCTTACTGAACTACTATTTTACCACGATAACAACGAAATGTGTCAATAGGGCATATTAAACTATCCAAGCAACTCGTAATGATATAGGATATATCTACGCCTCTAATAAAATAGTGGAATTGAGACGGTGAGGCATGATAAAATTATTTCCTCTGCAGAAAGACATAAGAAGGAGGTATATCGTTCAGGATGTCTGAATCTTAAATGTAATTTAATTATAAAAAAATATTATAATACAAAAATAATTATTATTATTTAACATAGGTCAGCACGTATAACTTTGAAAAATATATCACTTGGTTATGTTCCAAACAATATGATCAGCATAGCGTCACTGCAGGCGTGAAACACGTCTTCTTTAGAAAAGTATCCCTATTCATAACGAACAGCATCGTTATTCATAACAAACAGCATCCCTATTCACAACAAACAGCAACCAGCTGTGCTCATACAGATTATATCATTTGAAAATTTCAAATGGGAACTTCACCACAAATTGACGACTGCGTCATAGCATGAAGCGTTTAGTAGTGACTATTTTCACGAAAGATTCATTTTGAAAACAATTATAAACATTAAACATAAAATATTTTCGCAGTCCAGAGAAATATACCATCACCAATAAAACAAAGAGTTAAAACAATACGAGTCAATTTAACTGACCAAAATGCCACTAAAATAGTAATCAAAACATTATGAAAAAGAAAAAGTATTATTGAGAACAGAAATCTACTTTAAATGTTCATATTTTGAACAGTGCAGAATCCAATCACCTCGCATCAAACCAATGAAATTGACAACTATATAAAATATTTAGCTATTCAGGACGCATGATTAGCAAAGACATTATCACATATGACTGCACAGTAACAACATGTTGTGCTCATTTCAACACAAACATGCAAATTATGCACGAATGCTTGTCAAAACTACATCCTTTTTATAAACGCATTTCGTTATCTTTCAGAGCGATTATTTCGCAATTACTGTTCCACGAGGGAAATGTACTAGATCTACCTATAGGAACAGACAGTGGTATAATTGTGCACGGATTCTATCAAATTTATACCTATCTACTCGAGTGTGACTGGGGAACACAGTGCAGTCTATTTCAAATCAGTCTTACGTCAATTTCAAATCTACGACTCGTGGCATAGCTATATCAAAGTCGACGATGTCAATTTCACTGATATGTATCATGTATATTTCACATTAGTTTCACGAGCTAACATGCTCATTGTTTTTCTTTCATGATGTACATAGCAAAAAATATGACTTATTCCTTGTTGCAAATTCTTCCTTTGACTGAACACGATAATGGAAACATATGAATGTTTTCGACAGGTGCTGTCGCTTACCAGGACCTTTTTGTGTGTTTATAAAAACCATGAATTGCATTGTTATAGAAAACGAAGTTTGTTGTAAACATTTCGCCTCAGCGGATCGCTACAGTGATAGGACTTGCTATGGATTAACAAGACCCCCTTCCAGTTTGTTCGTGGTAAGTATGCATTTTATTGTATAAAACACCACATCTTTTAAATTGACATCAACGATAATTTTGTTACAACAAATCGACCAGGAACTGCGACATATTTCAAACATACTGTTGTAATGATTGCATAACTTCATCAATAAAGATACATCATTAAGTTGTTTGTATATTGTACTACATAAAAACACATTATTAACAAGATCTACTGACCGGTACCATGGAAGATTGCGGAGCCCATTCGGCCAGTCAAGCGACCAATCCATTCTCAGTTGTCGTCTGCTCGCAAAGATCTCGTCTGCTTCAGCGCGTGCGCTCGTGCCGCGTGATACCAGCGTCTAACCTCACGCGCTAACCTGTTCCATTGATGACGTAGAGGCATTGAATCGGGCCAATAAAAAGCAAGTTTTCTTGGATTACATTTGCCCGAAATTCGAAAGTGATTCCTCAAGACTGTAAAAGAGTCGCCACATGAGACTTTAAGGGGCGTAGGAGACAGACTTATTGAGAAAGGCAACAAAGAAAGGTTTACCGATAACAAGACAATATATCACAGAGCGGAGCTTTATTCGTGACGGAGAACATTCCATTCTGCTTTGAAGTTTGTATTGCCATCATTACAGGTATAATTCGACTCCCAATTATCGTAGTAGGTACACACTTGGGTCATTTTAATTAGAAATTTTCGACTCCGTTTGTTCCAATAATTACTCTTTTAAGCCTCGTAGTATGTGACTTGTCTAACACTTGATGTACAAGACAACGGAAGGATTTGTAACAGATGATAAACTGATCAGGTAGCTTTCATCTGAATGCATCGTTAAAATCGAAATTGATTCACTGTATCTTTAAAAGAAGGTATATCATCATTCAGTTTTTTAACCATTGGCATCACGAGCACACGAATTTTATTAACATAGTATGGTGCCGTGTCGTTTTTTGTGCTTTAAGTGATTTAAATACATGCTTTTAACATTAGTATAACAATAATAGTATATGTTAATTACAAAGTTGCAAGTTCAAATAAGAGTTATTTCCCTTGATGTAAGCTGTACTAAGTCGTCATCAGTTGCCTTCACTGAAGACATAGTTGTGCACATGTATTGGTCTACAAATGATGTCAATTTATGCAACAAAATTTAACATTAGATTGGATCGAAAATGAACATAGCTTATCTATGAAAAAAGAGTGAGTGAGTATGGTTTTCAGCCGCTTTTAGCAATATTCCAGCAATATGGGCTTCACACATTGTACCCGTGTGGGGAATCGAACCTGGGTCTTCGGCGTGACGAGCGAACGCTTTAACCACAAGGCTACCTACCCCACCGCCCCTATGAAACGAAGATCACTGTTAATCCGCACAATAGTTTTTCAATTCAACAGTCGGGATTAACAAAGTTCCGTTTAATTATTTGCAACTGTATTTCCCTAGGAAATCGTCGGAATTTCAAGATTTCCACTAAACGGAGTCCGTACAAATAGGGTGTTGTATTTGTATATTTCAGCTTACTGTGTGATTGTTTATACCTGAACTGATATGTCATCAATTTTATGACACATCATTGGCAGTGAATTACATGTCATTGAAAAAAAGACATATCTGTGGAGTCAGCATAAATGAGCAAGCGTATTGAACTTACCACACGGAGAGAGATTGACTGAAGCATGAAAGAAGGATTCTCTGAAGACAAGTTAAAGAGAGTGAAAAAAACAATTACATTATTAATTAAATGATAATACTGAAAATCACCGTGTCAGTAGTTCAATTAAAACACAAGGTTTTTATTTTGCCAATAGATATATTTCACACTGACATAGTACATCACTGAGAACTATAACTATCTGTAACCTAATCCAAACAAATATAACTAGAAGACAATCTAATCTATTACTGCCAAGTTACAGATTTAAATAGCCTTGACCTTGAAACCAGCAGGAGTCCTCGATATTGTTTCAGGATCTGCAGAATATACGTTGCTATTATTGTTATTATACTTCTTATATCTATAATAACATCAGCAACATGTATACATATGAAAGTGGAAACAATTGTTTCTTTCTGCCATTATAATTAAGTTTAATCTTAAGACATATATACTATTTTTAGAATGAACACATAAACAAGAAATGTGTAACTTTCGTAGTGTTCTAAGTTAACCACAATGAGCCCAATCGAACTTGGTCATTTTAATATCAATCACGGTCTTGAAATTGTAAATGCTACGAGAGCATTCATACATGCATTTGACGTTAATCTCTCGGCGTTGGCATTGTTGGTAATGTATTCAGTCTTCAGTGTACATCGCAACCCTATTTCCTTGTTAAGACCTTTGATAAAAGTAATTATCACCGGACATTAAAGGACAAGCAACAAAAAGTTGGCGTGGAGAAATAAGAACGAAACTGACCACCACCATCCTCCATATTTTGCCGGTTACATATTTAAACCTACAACACCCAGTCTCATCATTTCTATATCTTGTCAAGTCCCTGGTTTGAAGTGACCAGGTTGGACATTGACAAACTTGTGGTCAAGACCACTAATTCTACCTTTGACGAAGCCATATTCAAAGTGATGTCAGGTCGAGATGGGATCAAGTAGATTAATAGGTACAAAGTGCCAAAGTCTGTTATTTTCAGTGATGAAAATATTCAATAACTCCCCTAAGAGTGTGATCTTTCCATTGTTTCTAAATATTTTGCGAAAGGAACATCTATAGACTGATAATTTCTGTTGCCTTTGGGTATTTTGGGTGTTTTTTTTCCATACATTTGAGCTGATCTTAAATAACCATCTATGTTTATCCAAAGACTTCTTAGGTTTATCATGATACCACTATCATGGATCCATTTAACACGATCAGTATCCATTCCGTTTGTTGTTCAGTTTAATCCGTCTATACGTTTTTGTTGCTTGTTTTTTTACCAACCATCCCCCAGTTGTGAATTCACGGGAGCTTAATAACTTGTGTTGTGAGAGTTGCACGCAAGGTCTAAGAATGACTCGCCTCTGTGGGTCGCCCATCCGCCATGTTTATTGTTAATGGATTACAAAGTTCGCATACAAGTTATCTTAAAACAGACGTCGTATTGTGTTCAACCCAATTCCGAGCAACACTAATTGCTCAAGCTGGGGACAGGATAGAGACAAATGTTCTCAGTGCCGTCTGTTTCATCTGCGACGCACTCAAAGCGAGGCTGAGCCACCATCCGGGCAACCTTGCTCAACAGACGTGAGAACCGGCCACAGCAAGCCGCCATTTTGTCAACAGCCGGGGGCACTTATTGACAATGTTTCCTAAACATACTATCCAAATTGTTTCTTTTCTCAAGGTATTCGCCGATCCTTCACGTGTCTGAAGGGTACCAAAGCCAGTCGGTCGGTTGGCAATACCGCTCAGGCACCAAGATTACCTCGAACGTTGACGATTTATTGATTAACCGCCTTGAAGCCGTTATTGATGTTTATCCAATAGTGGACTCGAAGAACATTATCAATTATGTTGCACGCGCGCTGTTCGGGTGTGTGTAAAAGTGCAATGATAGCGGAAAATAAATGGTCGCAAATGAAAATCAGCGGCTGATCCCCTTTGACGCCGAAAGACTTCGGTGATATTGAAAAGCTGGATTAAGAATATAATGGAAAGGAATTTGATGACTTTCACAATTGTTCTGGTGATATTGGGTTTAAGTCAGTGCTTTGAAATCTGTTACTAGAAAGGTATGAGGGTTTCACTGAGTAACACTAATCTGAATGCGGATGTTCAGGTATATCATTTCAACGAAGATGATTTGAGGGAAAAGAGCTTTTGAGAAAAAATGAAATAACTTTTGAAAACAAGATTTAATCTCCTTGAAACATCATGACTAGGGCCTGACTACTTGCAATGGAAATGCAGTTAACTGTTCTCACTAAGTTTGTCGTGGTGAGGCCGATTTCGACCTTCTTTGAGCCATCAAGCATATGTAGATTTGTTGTTCATAGTTCGAGACAAAATAGTGTTAATTGTAGGTCCTGCTGATAACGGTTGAGACGGGGTGGTGCCTTAAAGGATTTCGTTACATAGCAATGTTTCACTGTGAAGATAAACTATACTTTGACTCCTTGGATCATGTTTTTTAAAGGGAACCATTGAGCGATATGCAAATGTTGACAGACCTACAGTATCACGTGATCTACATAATTGATCAGATATCTAATTCTGCACAGCATACTAATTCTGAATTAGGGAACAACCCCGATATTCCGTGAGGTGTATGAGGTGGGGTATTTTTTGTGTGTTTGTTTTTATTTGTTTTGTATTTGTATTATTGTTGTTTTGGTTTTAGGGGTGCTTTTGGGGGAGGGTGAAGGGTATTGGTGGAGCCCCGCCAGGTTCGGACTAACGCATGGAAATTCTCGATAGTCAGTACATATTCGTAGTCGGACCATACAATCAAGTGGATGGCAGCATGAGAAGTGAGCTAGTGAATCGAGCAGAACTAGAATGTTTAATTGGGAGCTATTGTATGATAGTTTGACATATACCATGAATCATATGTAGGACAAGCAATAAATTCTTGAAAAGCACTTAACAGAAGGTCATCCGAACGATTCCTTTTTCTGTATACATGTATGTTCGAAATTCTTCTTACATGAGACGTAGAAACGAAACGTAATGTCTTACATATTGACGGGTAAATTCCAATAACTGTGACACAATGACAACATTGGATGGCGCATACAGCGTGTACAGCACAAGCTGAAAACAAACCAACTACACGGAAAGGGCAACAGAGTTCCAAAATAATTTAATTAATACGTCCAGCTAGACAAACAGAAGACTGGACGCCTGGACGTTCGTGTTAGCGATGCTTGAAACATCCCTTTAATAGTTTAATGGACATAACTTAATTAAGGAAAACAGACAAATCTCAACGGAATTTAATGTGAGGATGTAAGGGTGTATGTGTGTTAACAACGCACGTTATGTCTGGGATTAGACTAACAACTCGTTCTGAAATGAAC